GACGCCTGCTGCTGTATATTTGGAGTTTGCGTGTCTCTCTCTCTCATCATCATCACGGTGGCTATGAGATGTTAACTACCTCGCCTGGTATACAGGAGGTCGTGGGTTCGATCCCGACCCTGACGCCTGCTGCTGCTGCTGTATATTTGGAGTTTGCGTGTCTCTCTCTCTCCCTGTGGTCGCGTGGATTTTTTTTCCGGTTCCCCTCCACAATTTGAATCAACATAACGCGCCTCCACACTATTGGGACTCTACACACTTCCCTCTGGTGATGATGATGATGATGATCATGACGATGATGAGCCCACATCGTTGAGCTACCATTCGTGATGGCCAGGTCGCTTCTGCTTAAAAGAGCTATGTAGTTTGTAGTTTAATTTAAGTGGTAGTCGTATTCATAAAGTGAAGACGTATTCGCGAAACGACGTAAAGAATTTGGATACGTAAATCGAAGGTTCTTTGTAGATTACAAACAAAGACCAAGATCCCCCGTATAGCCTGTAACAGACTGTTAAGGCAGAGAGTTGCACCTATGAAGACCGGCACGGCACACGAGTGGAAGGGTGGGTGGCCAACACCACGCCCGACCGCCTTTGTCTCCCCCAGTGGCGACGTTTACACACCGCACTAGGTACTCACTTGAGGCTGAGTCGACCTAGGGGAGGCCCAGGATCGGTTCAGATAATCGTCACTGGCGTTGGCCGTGAGCGGGAATCGAACTCGGGTTGCCGAGTTCGTTGTGCAGCGTAGCGCTAACCGCTACACTACCGCTCCCCATTATGTTATATTTTATATATATACATACATGCAGGGCCGAATTATGGCACGGGGCTTTAGGGTCTGCAGCATAGGGGGCCTCCGCCAGCTGGAAGGCCTCCAGAGATGAAGTGAAAAGTTATTTCGTTTGTGAACGCTGAATTTTATTTTATTGTTAGCCTTTTAATAAAAATAAAAATTCTTTAACTTTATTTTCCTTTTGAAAATATTACTGGGGGCCTTCACAGTGCCTGTAGGCCAGGGGCCAACCCAGTCTTCATCCGGCCCTGCATACAGTACACACACACACACATATCTATGGAACTTTTTACCAGTATCAAAGTATGAAAAAATAAGAATACGTTTGATCCTTTCCGGCAATGCAACAGGAGGCGTTACGGGTGCTCACACACCGAGTAGAATCCTTTTGCAAGGAATCAAGTCAAAGAATCAACGAACCGCACTAACCACGCAGAGCAATTGTGTTGAGCGTGGAAGCAATCGGAGGATTTAAATTTTGAATTAAAGCTTTCGTGACTGCAGTAATTCATATTCTTAGCTCTTTCGGTAAAGTCGCGTTGAAGGGAAACAATAAAATAAAATAATATATTTTTAGTGTCTTATATATTTATTCATTTATAATTTTATTGTTTCCCTTCAACGTAACTTTACCGAAAGAGCTAAGAATGTCAATCGGAGGATGTTTGTTTGCACGTTAGTGACAGGGCTGCGGCGCGTGGTGAGTGGCAGTCCTTGATTCCTTGCAAGAAGGTTTCCATTTAGGTGTTTGAACATCCCGACACAAGACCCGTCTTATTGCCGGAATGGAGTAAAACCTATTCTGATATTTTCATACACCCGTGTATATATATATAAATAATTAATGTACAGGGGCGCTTCAAAAAACAAAGTGAACACTTCGGAGAAATTTGCTAAACGACGCCACGAGCAATGTGCCTCCTCCAGGCTCTGGAGGACCACGTGGAGAAGATTCCAGGCACCACGCGTTGACGACGCTGGCGAACAAGTGTGGAGACTCTTTGACTTTTTTGAAGCTATTAACATCACATTTGTTATCAATGTTACAGTGCGATTACTACTATCCCTTCTTTTTGTCCATTATATATATAAAAAAGCGACACTCCCATGATGAGTGTTAACATTATTATTTTTGAAGCACCCTGTATGTACATTGTCCGAACCGCGTCCGTGACGAAAAAACAAAATCAATAAATTCGTGTCCATTGATTGATTCTTCAAGCCGCGCGAGTGACTTGGACGAACGCGCTGGTGGCAGCTTCCACCCACCCCACCCACACCACCCACACCAACCACGCCACCCACGCCACCCACGCCACCCACCCCACCCACACCACCCACACCACCCACGCCACCCACCCCACCCACGCCACCCACGCCACCCACCCCACCCACGCCACCCACCCCACCCACACCACCCACACCAACCACACCACCCACACCAACCACGCCACCCACGCCACCCACCCCACCCACACCACTCACCCCACCCACCCCACCCACCCCACCCACACCACTCACCCCACCCACCCCACCCACCCCACCCACACCACTCACACCACCCACGCCACCCACCCACCCCACACCACCCACCCCACCCACGCCATCCACCCCAGCCACACCACCCACACCACCCACACCACCCACCCAGGCCACCCACCCACCCCACCCACCCCACCCACACCATCCACGCCACCCACGCCACCCACGCCACCCACACCACCCACGCCACCCACGCCACGCGCCTCTAGAGTGTGAGAGCAATGAGAGATTCACAACGCGTCGAGTGTCAGCTGCTCGGGAGCTCTGTTGCTTAACGGCTCTAAAGGAGGAGGGGGGGGATAGGTAGGTGGGGGGGGTGAGGGGAGGAGGTGGTGGGTGGGTGGTGGGTGGGTGGTGGGTGGGTGGTGTGCCAAGTGGGGAGCGGTGGCGCAGCAGTTAGCGCTACGCCGCGCTGCGAACCCAGCGACCCGAGTTCGATTCCCGCTCGCGGCCAACACCACCACCAGTGACGATTATGTGGACCGAACCCGGGCCTCCCCTGGGTCGACTCAGCCTCAAATGAGTACCCGGTGCTGTGTGTAAGCATCGCCACTGGGGAGACAAAGGCGGTCGGGCGTGGTGCTGGCCACCCACCCCCTCGTGTAGCGTACGGTCCTTCATAAATGCTCGCTAACAGCACTTGCCCCAAAAGTCCGTTAAGGCTGTACGGGGGATCTTTATCTTTGTATTTGTACCGAGTGGAGGAGGCTATTGATAGATTAATTAGGAGGCGCGCGCGGTAAACAACACGCTCACTTATTGATGAAGCGGAGATGTTATTTATCTATCTCTCCCGGTATTATAGATGGCACTCAATCTCGCTGTGTGTGTCTCTCTCGGTATTATAGATGGCACTCAATCTCGCTGTGTGTGTCTCTCTCTCGGTATTATAGATGGCACTCACTCTCGCTGTGTGTGTCTCTCTCGGTATTATAGATGGCACTCACTCTCGCTGTGTGTCTCTCTCCCGGTGTTATAGATGGCACTCACTCTCGCTGTGTCTCTCACGGTGTTATAGATGGCACTCACTCTCGCTGTGTGTGTCTCTCTCGGTATTATAGATGGCACTCACTCTCGCTGTGTGTGTCTCTCGGTATTATAGATGGCACTCACTCTCGCTGTGTGTGTCTCTCACGGTATTATAGATGGCACTCACTCTCGCTGTGTGTGTCTCTCTCTCGGTATTATAGATGGCACTCACTCTCGCTGTGTGTCTCTCTCTCACGGTATTATAGATGGCACTCACTCTCGCTGTGTGTGTCTCTCTCTCGGTATTATAGATGGCACTCACTCTCGCTGTGTGTCTCTCTCTCACGGTATTATAGATGGCACTCACTCTCGCTGTGTGTGTCTCTCTCTCGGTATTATAGATGGCACTCACTCTCGCTGTGTGTGTCTCTCTCTCGGTATTATAGATGGCACTCACTCTCGCTGTGTGTGTCTCTCTCGGTATTATAGATGGCACTCACTCTCGCTGTGTGTGTCTCTCTCGGTGTTATAGATGGCACTCACTCTCGCTGTGTGTCTCTCTCTCGGTATTATAGATGGCACTCCCTCTCGCTGTGTGTCTCTCTCTCTCGGTATTATAGATGGCACTCACTCTCGCTGTGTGTCTCTCTCTCGGTGTTATAGATGGCACTCACTCTCGCTGTGTGTCTCTCTCTCGGTGTTATAGATGGCACTCACTCTCGATGTGTGTCTCTCTCCCGGTATTATAGATGGCACTCACTCTCGCTGTTTGTGTCTCTCACGGTGTTATAGATGGCACTCACTCTCGCTGTGTGTGTCTCTCTCACGGTATTATAGATGGCACTCACTCTCGCTGTGTGTGTCTCTCTCTCGGTGTTATAGATGGCACTCACTCTCGCTGTGTGTGTCTCTCACGGTATTATAGATGGCACTCACTCTCGCTGTGTGTCTCTCTACCGGGGTTATAGATGGCACTCACTCTCGCTGTCAGTGTCTCTCTCGGTGTTATAGATGGCACTCACTCTCGCTGTCAGTGTCTCTCTCGGTATTATAGATGGCACTCACTCTCGCTGTGTGTGTCTCTCTCACGGTATTATAGATGGCACTCACTCTCGCTGTGTGTGTCTCTCACGGTATTATAGATGGCACTCACTCTCGCTGTCAGTGTCTCTCTCGGTGTTATAGATGGCACTCAATCTCGCTGTGTGTGTCTCTCTCCCGGTATTATAGATGGCACTCACTCTCGCTGTGTCTCTCTCACGGTGTTATAGATGGCACTCACTCTCGCTGTGTGTCTCTCTCCCGGTATTATAGATGGCACTCACTCTCGATGTGTGTGTCTCTCTCCCGGTATTATAGATGGCACTCACTCTCGCTGTGTCTCTCTCACGGTGTTATAGATGGCACTCACTCTCGCTGTGTCTCTCTCACGGTGTTATAGATGGTACTCACTCTCGCTGTGTGTCTCTCTCCCGGTATTATAGATGGCACTCACTCTCGCTCTGTGTGTCTCTCTCACGGTATTATAGATGGCACTCACTCTCGCTGTGTATGTCTCTCTCACGGTATTATAGATGGCACTCACTCTCGCTGTGTGTCTCTCTCACGGTATTATAGATGGCACTCACTCTCGCTGTGTGTCTCTCACGGTATTATAGACGGCACTCACTCTCGCTGTTTCTGCGTGCGGGAAGGATTCAGGATGAAGGTTCATGAATGACGCCGCCGCCGCTGCTGCTGCTGGGCTGTTGGATGCAGTCGCCCCCCTCCAGCAACAGCGAAGGGAGCAGTTGAGCTGCGCTCACAACAACGAGCGGAGCGCCGGGCGGATAAAATGCAGTAAGTATGGTGCAGTCGGGGGCGGGGGTCACAGGTGGTGGCATCTGCCAATCAACCCATGGCACCTGCTGGGTCTACCCCGTGACCTCCTCCGGCCAGCAGTGGGCCTTCGACAGATGAACGATAGACGGGTGAACGAGAGATGGGTGAACGAGGGACGGGTGAACGAGAGACGGGTGAACGAGGGACGGGTGAACGAGAGACAGGTGAACGAGGGACGGGTGAACGAGGGACGGGTGAACGAGGGGCGGGTGAACGAGAGACGAGTGAACGAGGGACGGGTGAACGAGAGACGGGTGAACGAGAGACGGGTGAACGAGAGACGGGTGAACGAGGGACAGGTGAACGAGGGACGGGTGAACGAGGGACGGGTGAACGAGAGACAGGTGAACGAGGGACGGGTGAACGAGGGACGGGTGAACGAGAGACGGGTGAACGAGGGACGGGTGAACGAGGGACGGGTGAACGAGAGACGAGTGAACGAGGGACGGGTGAACGAGAGACGGGTGAACGAGAGACGGGTGAACGAGAGACGGGTGAACGAGAGACGGGTGAACGAGGGACGGGTGGACGAGAGACGGGTGAACGAGAGAGTCAGTATGGTAGGCGTTCCTATGGAACACGCGCCATCAACTTAGAAACGTATCACAGCGATAAATTCACGCATTTATTTTTTTATTTCCTCATAATGAACCAGCAGGAAACAAGACCGCGCTAAATATTTGATATTTTATTTTTTAAAAAACATTGTTTTCACTCTCCCACGCTCTTCTTGGGGAATTGTAACGAGTGAGTGTTGTGTGTGTGTTGTGTGTGTTGTGTGTGTGTGTTGTGTGTGTGTGAGTGTGTGTGGTGTGTGTGTTATGTGTGTGTATGTGTGTGTTGTGTGTGTTGTGTGTGAGTGTGTGTGTGGTGTGTGTGTGTGTGTATGTGTGTGTTGTGTGTGTGTGATGTGTGTGTATGTGTGTTGTGTGTGTTGTGTGTGTGTATGTGTGTGTTGTGTGTGTGTTGTGTGTGAGTGTGTGTTGTGTGTGTGTGGTGTGTGTGTTGTGTGTATGTGTGTGTATGTGTGTGTTGTGTGTGTGTATGTGTGTGTGTGAGTGTGTGTTGTGTGTGTGTGGTGTGTGTGTGTTGTGTGTATGTATGTGTGTGTTGTGTGTGTGTGTGTATGTCTGTATGTGTGTTTATATGCGGGCAGCGGTGGTTAGCGCTACGCTGCGCTACAAACCCGGCCACCCGAGTTCGATTCCCGCTCACGGCCAACACCCGTGACGATTATCTGGGCCTCCTCCCCTAGGTCGACTCGGCCTCAAACAAGTACCTGGTGCGATGTGTAAACATCGCCACTGGGGAGACAAAGGCGGCCGGGCGTGGTGCTGGTCACCAACCCCCTCGTGTGCCGTGCCGGCCTTCAAAGGTGCCACTCGCGAACCGCACTTGCCCCAATAACCTGCTAAGGCTACACGGGGGAAACTGTCTTTGTCTGATTTTAAATATATACATAATAGATGTTGTGTGCCGGGGTGAAATTGAGCCCTAGCTGCAGAGCATAAATAATAATTTGTTTACAACAACAACAAAATCACAACAACAACAACAACAAAAACGAGAACATCCATCGGTCGACACAATCAAAACAAACAATACTTTAAGCTTATCCGGGAAAGAGAACAAAAATATATATACCGAGGCGGCCCATTCACAGATACCCCACTAGCAACAGCAAGCTCGGTGTTACGGGCTGGGGTGTGTGGGGGGGCCAGCCACGAAAAACAACCAACGCAGACACAGGGACCGTCCACCTTTAAAAAAAAATCATCTCCCTCCTCCTCCCACCGAAACCTCAGCGTGAAAGTGAAAGAGAGAGAGAGAGAGCCGGGGGGTGGGTTGTGTGGGTAACGTTCAAGGTTTCGGCTGGGGTATCTATAAATGGATCGCGGCGGTGCCCGTCTGCCGAGCGGGCAAGGCGACTTTGTTGCCCTCAAAGCTTTGGGTTGCGCAACGAGTCGCCCAGATGCCGAGCCCGGCGTTCCACCAACTCGTTCGTGAATTCGTGGAGAGCAAAATCGATCGCGAGGAGCGATCGGGCGAGACAATAAAACGACTCGCGTAGTGAAGCCTCCGAAAAAATACTTGTTTACAACTTTCACCATCATCATCATCACCATCATCACCCCCATCATCATCACCATCGTCGTCGTCGCCGATATCGTCATCGGCGTCATCATGATCACTATCGTCATCATCGGCAGCGGCTAATAGGTGACACCTTTATCGTCAGTATAATCATCATCATCACGATCATCATCATCATCACTGGCATCATCAGCAGTAGCAGCGATAGGTGGCAACTTTATCGTCAATATCATCTTCATCATTATCACGATCATCATCACATCATCATTTTTAATATCTTCATCAGCATCATCACTATCATCATTATCAGCAGTAGCAGCTATAGGTGGCATCTTCATCATCATCATCACCACCACCACCATCATCATCACCATCGTCGTCGTCGTCGCCGATATCGTCATCGGCGTCATCATGATCACTATCGTCATCATCGGCAGCGGCTAATAGGTGACACCTTTATCGTCAGTATAATCATCATCATCATCATCACGATCATCATCATCATCATCACTGGCATCATCAGCAGTAGCAGCGATAGGTGGCAACTTTATCGTCAATATCATCTTCATCATTATCACGATCATCATCACCATCATCATTTTCAATATCTTCATCAGCATCATCACTATCATCATTATCAGCAGTAGCAGCTATAGGTGGCATCTTCATCATCATCATCACCACCATCATCATCATCATCACCATCGTCGTCGTCGTCGCCGATATCGTCATCGGCGTCATCATGATCACTATCGTCATCATCGGCAGCGGCTAATAGGTGACACCTTTATCGTCAGTATCATCATCATCACGATCATCATCATCATCACTGGCATCATCAGCAGTAGCAGCGATAGGTGGCAACTTTATCGTCAATATCACCTTCATCATTATCACGATCATCATCATCATCACCATCATCATTTTCAATATCTTCATCGGCATCATCACTATCATCATTATCAGCAGTAGCAGCTATAGGTGGCATCTTCATCATCATCATCACGATCATCATCACGATCATCATCATCCACCTATAAATAATTCACCCTCCAAGCATCCGATCCGACCAAATCTCAGACGCTAAGCGTGCGTTGAGAACCCGACGAGCACTTTGTACGGGTGCCCAACTGTGATTCGACCTCCACCACCACCACCACGACCACCGCCACCACCACCACCGCCACCACCACCACCACCACCGCCAGGGCTTGCCAGGTGCTGTAGGAGCTCTCCGGGGGTGGTCAATGAAAGCGGCAGTCCCAAAGGGGCGTCTGCCTCCTCCTGCTCCTCCTGCTCGTTGTACACTGCGATCAGGTTTGCTAGGGGGAGGGTGGGGGGCGTATTTGTTTAAGTAACCAACATGCTCATTCGTTACTAGTACAGCACACCGGTGTGTTGGTAGAGCAAATCCACGAACATTTGCAATCCAGAACACCGGTGTGCTGTGCTAGTGACGAATTGGCCACGTTCTGTTTATGTGACAAATCTTATAAATTGGCTGTGTCGGGTGGTGGCGGGTTTAACGACACATTTATATTTGACGCGATCTAACCCACCCCCAACCTTTTGGATGACATTCGTCGCGAAAGCCTCCTGCTACTTCGGGTTAAACCGGAGTTGTTTTTATTATTTGGGTCTTTCGGTAAAGTCACGTGGATAGGTTCAAAGAAAACAATAAAACAAAATCTACGACGTCTCGATCGCAGCGCGAGCGATCGTCACCCCGCTTGTCCCCTTCCCTCGTCAAAGCCACACACAGGGAGCGTGGCGTGACCAGCTGGGGTGGGGGTGGCGGTGGGACGGTGAATGGGTGGGAAATTCAAAATAACAATGAGAGCAATTTGCCAGTAGCAAAGTATGAACAAAAAATATGTAAGAATAGCTTTTACATATTCTTGGTTCTTTCGGTAAAGTCACGTAGAAGGGAAACAATAACCACAGCAAGAAAATTTGAAATTTCAAATTTTCTTGCTGTGGTTTTTCACACCTGATGATGATTGCTTGTGTTGCAGTCGAAACGTCGTGAGAATTGTATTGTTTTATATTTACATTCATATAGACACACAAAGACAAACACCCCCCACCCACCGTATATCCTTCAACAGCACTTGCCCCAACGGTCTGTTACGGCTATACGGGTAGTCTTTGTCTGTGTGTTGGAGTGGTGGCGCAGTGGTTAGCGCGCTACTAATTATCCGGAACCCGGAGTTCGATTCCCACTCAAGGCTACCAACACCGAGTGACGAATATCACGCGGTTCTGGGCCTCCCCTAGGTGGACTCAGCCTCAAATGAGTACCCGGTGCGTTGTGTAGTAAACATCAGCGCTGGGGAGACAAAGGCGGCCGGGCGTGGTGCTGGCCACCCGTTCCGACCTTCATAGGCGCTGCCGCTCGCTGACAGCACTTGCCCCCAAAAAGTCTGTTAAGGCTACACGGGGGATCTTTGTCTTTGTTTGTGTTGTGTGTGTTTGGGTACGTACACAGTATATCGGTGTTTTCATTGCTGCAATTGAGGTTGTGTAGATTGCGTTAGCGCGTGTCTCTCATCACCATCACTGCGTGTTCACGCCAGCTGTGTCTCTCTGCACGACGTGGCTTTATCATCAACATCTTTATCATCATCACCATCATCACCGCCATCATCGTCGTCGTTCTGGATTGTATTATTACGATTTTGTTATGAATATTATTTACTCTCAATGATGTCTCCGCTTTTTCTGTGTCTCTCTGTCGGTCGTCTGCGTGTGTACACGCGTGTGTCTGTCCGTACATCCACGCGTGTGTCTGTCCGTATATCTGTCTATCGGCTCCACGTGTGTGTGCGTGTATGTCACATCTTTTCATGAGTGTGCGTGTCTGTCTATCCGTGTGTGTGTGTGTCTGTGTACATCAATCCACGTCTGTGTGTGCGTGTCCGTTTGCCATCACGAGTCTCTGTCCATCTGTCCGTCCCTCCTCGTGTGTTTCCCTCCATCCTTGCAGGCTCGTCTGTGTGTGTGTGTGTGCGTGTCTGTGTGTGTCTGTGTGTGTGTCTGTGTCTGTGTGTGCGTGTCTGTGTGTCTGTGTGCGTGTCTGCGTGTCTGTGTGTGTGTCTGTGTGTCTGTGTGTGTCTGTGTGTGTGTGTGCGTGTCTGTGTGTGTCTGTGTGTGTGTGTCTGTGTGTGTGTCTACATCCTCCATGATCCATCCTCCCCCCGACCCATCCTCTTTCAAATCCATCCTCCCAAAACCATCCTCCCGCCGATCCATCCTCTTCCAGATCCATCCTCCCGATCCATCCTCCCGTCCTCACCTTCCTTGCCCCAACCCCCACCCCCACCCGCCTTACATCAACGCAGCGATGCCCCCCATGTGAGTGGCCACTCGCTGCTGAGCGGCAGCAACCACCACCACCGCTGCCTTCGACGCAGACGACGCCGACAATGAGCCCGTCGCGGCCGACCTCGTCTTGGTGTTGGGCAGCTTGTGGTCCTTCTTCCACTTCATGCGCCGGTTCTGGAACCAGATCTTGATCTGGCGCTCGGTGAGGCCGAGCGCGTGCGCGATCTCGATGCGTCGCCTCCGCGTGAGGTAGCGGTTGAAGTGGAACTCCTTCTCGAGCTCCAGCACCTGGAGGCGCGTGTAGGCGGTGCGCGATCGCTTCGACTCCCCGACACAGATGCCGTTGGGTCCTCCTGCTCCTCCTCCTCCTCCTCCTGCTCCTCCTCCTTCTCCTCCTCCGCTGCCGCTGCTGCTGTGGCAGCCCGAGTTGACTGCGCGCGAGAGGCAAATGGGAATAATTTTTTGTTGTCGGGAGGAGGGAGGGAGGCGGGCGAGTGAGGGTTTAGGAGACGTGGATAGAGGATGGAGAGGTGGAGAGACCGTGAGAGAGGATGATGATGATGGTGACGATGCTGGTGATGATGATGATGATGTTGCTGATAATGTTGTTGATGATGCTGCTGCTGATGTTGTTGATGATGCTGATGATGATGCTGGTGATGATGCTGGTGATGATGATGATGTTGGTGATAATGTTGTTGAGGATGCTGCTGATGATGATGCTGGTGATGATGCTGCTGATGATGCTGCTGATGCTGGTGATGATGCTGCTGATGCTGTTGATGCTGATGATGATGCTGCTGATGCTGATGATGATGCTGCTGATGATGCTGCTGCTGCTGATGCCCCCCCCACACCCCTCACTCCTCCTCCCTCCACCACCCCCTCCCCTCAAAGCGTCCAAAGCGGCCAGCAATAAACAGCACCACTGTCGCTGTAACACGCGTCTCTGAATTCAACATCGTCGGCTAGCCAGCCCGTCTATTCGTGCGCTCTGTACCGCTTCTCTGCGGAAGGGACATTGCCCGAAACGTTAGATTATAATTATTTTTGTTCCATATTATTAATTTGCAATGTTGCAATAAACCGTCGCCATACACGGGATCAAATTTTGTAAGGGCTAAAGGGTTAACAGCAGCTTAACTCGCCTGATCTATAGCCACGTTACGGGTGAAACGTATAATCATTTGATGGAGTGGCGTGATTTATATAGCAGCTATTGTCGTGTTCTACAATAATAAGACTTATGATGCTTATAATCGATACGCTAATGTTCCATAATCACCGTAATTACGGCCAGCGGTCCATTTTTCTCGGCACAAACATTGCCACGGCGATGTGCTATTTATTATTAACAATAATTATTACGATGATGATGATGATTACAATCAGAATTGCCTCTCTGATTACGGTAGCCGCTGGCTGACGATGGCATCGTGGGTGGCCAACTTCGAAGCGATGTCGCTTGTTTTGAATGTATTTCAATCACACGCGTTCCACTATACATGGCGTGTGGTGTAAATTGACGAGTGGATAATTTGCTACTGTTTCAGCATCGTTCTAAGAGACACACATACAAAGAAACGGGGGTGGGGACACACTCAGAATTTTGGAGGAAATGGATTATTCTTGTAACAACCAACTCACATATTCTTGGTTCTTTCGGTAAAGTCACATAGAAGGGAAACAATAAATAATATTTTTATTATTTTATTGTTTCCCTTCTACGTAACAATAAATAATATTTTATTTTATTGTTTCCCTTCTACGTGGTGACTTTCCCGAAAGAACCAAGAAGATGAATCCCTGCAGTCACGAAAGCTTTAAATAAAAAAATGTAACCAACTCACAGTTACAATTTAAGCAATAAGCCTTTCACGAAAAAACTAAAAAAATATTTTTTTTTAATTGCGTAATATTGTTTTTTTTTTTAATCCACGTAGCCAACCCGGCAGCATTAAAGTGTCACGCGTTAGGTACAGATCACCAAAACTATAACAATACTATTGCTTAAATTTTGATTTAAAGCTTTCGTGACTGCAGTAATTCATATTTTTAGTTTTTTCGGTAAAGTCACGTTGAAGAGAAACAACAAAATAATAAAATATATATAAAACAATAAAAAATTCTCACGACGTTTCGACCATAACTCAAACGGTCGTCTTCAGGTGTGTTGGTTTGCATAAATTTATTTTTAAACGGCGCATTTAAATTAATGCATTTAAATAAATGCGCCGTTTAAAAATAAATTTATGCAAACCAACACACCTGAAGATGACCGTTTTGAGTTATGGTCGAAACGTCGTGAGAATTTTTTATTGTTTTATATATATTTATTATTTTGTTGTTTCTCTTCAACGTGACTTTACCGAAAAAAACTAAGAATAATACTATTGCTTGTTTCTTTCGGTAAAGTCGCTGTAGATATAACATTCATAGATGACGACGTTTTGGATCGCAGCTGCGTCAGCGGTTCTCCTGCTGTGTTTGTCTCTCACCTGATGACGGTCGCTTGTGCTGTGATCGAAACGTCGTTAGTTACAAAAAAAAACATTTTTTTTTTATATATATCCACGTGACTTCACCGAAAGAATCAAAGAGAATGGGATTCCTGCAGTCACGAAAGCTTCAAATAAAGTTTTATTGATCTTTGGATCTTTCGGTAAAGTCACGTAAATTATTAGTATTTTTATTAAACTAACGACGTTTCGATCGCAACACAAGCGGTCGTCATCAGGCGGAGAGAAAATACTACTAAAATACTACTAAAAATACTACTAAAAATATTACTAAAATTCTACTAAAAATATTACTAAAATACTACTAAAAATACTACTAAAAATATTACTAAAATTCTACTAAAAATATTACTAAAATACTACTAAAATACTACTAAAAATACTACGAAAAATACTACTAAAATATTACTAAAATTCTACTAAAAATATTACTAAAATACTACTAAAAATACTGCGAAAAATACTACGAAAAATACTACTCCTAAAAAAATATACAACTAACAATAATGATATATGGTTTGGCATGTACAGGGGTGGTGGCATAAGTAACTACCCCATCTGTTTATCGCCTAAAACGTTTGAAAAATGAAGCTGGGAAGGGGGAAAAAAAACCAACAGCCCTCCAAATGATAAACGCTGCCTCGACGCACGGAGATTCGGTGTCATCAGGCGCGACGAGTGGAATGGAGCGCGTCAACAACAGCGGGGTCGTCCATAAATGACGTCACGCGATTTTGGACGATTTTTGACCCCCCCCTCCTCCTCCTCCCCACCTCGTCACGTGGCGTCACAATAAATTAGACCCCCCCTCTCCCCTCAAATATGACGTCACAAAGCTCTGCCCCCCCCCCCACCCACCCTCCAAACCATATTGCCATTTTGTAAATAGAACGTGCTTCAAATCGCTTTAAACTATTGTTGTCATTGTAGTGGGTATTTAACGTGGCGCTGCACTCTGATGTTGCAGGAGCGTTGTTATAACAATTCTAGATTTATAATCTTGGTTCTTTCGGTAAAGTCACCACGTAGAAGGGAAACAATAAAACAATAAAAATATAAAACGATAAAAATTCTCACGACGTTTCGACTGCAACACAAGCAATCATCATCAGGTGTGAAAACCACAACAAGAAATTTTGAAAAAAGTGGCGGTAATTTTTTATTTTTTGGTGCTAACGTCAAAAAATAAACGCCACTTTTTTCAAATTTTCTTGTTGTGGTTTTCACACCTGATGATGATTGCTTCTTGTGTTGCAGTCGAAACGTCGTGAGAATTTTATTGTTTTATATTTTCATTATTTTATCGTTTCCCCTTCTACGTGGCGACTTTACCGAAAGAACCAAGAATATGAATCCCTGCAGTCACGAAAGGTTTAAATCAAAATTCTAGATTTATTTAAAGTTGCTCGTTTTGATGTGACGGCGCATTTTGATGTGACGTCACAATTCTCAACCGCCCCCACCCCCCCCCCCCCTTCGTCACACATCGTCACAAATGTCTGACCCCCACCCCCCTCCCCACCCCCCCTAGGTGCGTGACGTCATTTACGGACGGCCCCAGCCGGAGTCGCGTCGGTAGCGGCCGTGCCCCCGTCGCTCTGCACCCTGCTGCTGCTGCGGCTTCAGCAGTCGCAGCAGCAGCAGCAGGCGAGGCGAGCGTCGACGGCCTCCGGGCTGCTCGCGACGCCGTGCCGCTGGGAGCGTCTCGCGTGCGGGAAACGAGACGCCGGGGGCCTCGCGAGCAAGACTCGCAAGCTCCATTATTCCTCAATGGGGCGGAGCGGCGTCTCCTCCCTCCCTCCCTCCCCTCCTCTCCCTTCCCCTCCCTCCCTCCTCCCCCATTCTCCTCCTTCCCCTCCCTTCCCCTCCCTCCCTCCTTCCTTCCCCTCCCTCCCCTCCCTTCCCCTCCCCTCCCTCCTCCCCCATCCTCCTCCCTCCCTCCATCTCATCCCCCCCTACTCCCCCATCCTCCTCCCTCCCTCCCTCCCTACCTCCCTCCCTCCCCTCCCCTCCCTTCCCCCACCCTCCTCCCTCCTTACCTCCTTCCCCTCCCCTCCCTCCCTCCTCCCCCATTCTCCTCCCTCCCTCCTTCTCTTCCCCCCCTACTCCCCATCCCCCTCCCTCCCCCTCCTCCTCCCTCCTCCTCCCCTCTCCTCGTCCAAGTCGTCCTTGAACATTCGTCCTCAACTCGCTGGAGAGAAGAAGAAGAAGAAGAAGTCCCACCCAGGCCCACCGGCGTCTACGGCTGACAACGCGCCGCGTCGCATGCGCCCCACGTTGTTGCTCTCGAGTTCAACGATTTCACCAATTTCACAGATTTCACCAATTTCCCGATTTCACCAATTTCACAGATTTCACCAATTTCACAGATTTCACCAATTTCACAGATTTCACCAATTTCACAGATTTCACCAATTTCCAGATTTCACCAATTTCACAGATTTCACCAATTTCACAGATTTCACCAATTTCACAGATTTCACCAATTTCACAGATTTCACCAATTTCACAGATTTCACCAATTTCACAGATTTCACCAATTTCACAGATTTCACCAATTTCACAGATTTCACCAATTTCACAGATTTCACCAATTTCCCGATTTCACCAATTTCACAGATTTCACCAATTTCACAGATTTCACCGATTTCACCAATTTCACAGATTTCACCAATTTCACAGATTTCACCAATTTCACAGATTTCACCAATTTCCCGATTTCACCAATTTCACAGATTTCACCAATTTCACAGATTTCACCGATTTCACCAATTTCACAGATTTCACCAATTTCACAGATTTCACCAATTTCACAGATTTCACCAATTTCACAGATTTCACCAATTTCACAGATTTCACCAATTTCACAGATTTCACCAATTTCACAGATTTCACCAATTTCACAGATTTCA